CAAAATATCAAATAACCCAAATGGAGTGGTTACAGCCGTTTTAGGTATATCTTCCACACCACGGTAATATGGTGATAAGCCCGAACAAGATCAATTTTTGAAAATATCGTGGCACCTCCCATATTGGTAGTAATGTCGTGGATATGCGGTGCCGGACATCTGTCTGCTATAGTTTGCTTATTAAGGGCTCTATAGTCTCCGCATGTCCTGATTTCTCCGCTTTTCTTGGGAACCATATGCAACGGGGATGCCCAGGGACTATTGGATGGTCTTACGATACCAAGCTTCATCAATTTTTCGAACTCTCGTTTCACAATCTTCAAACTTTTTGGGTCTACTCTCCGTGGTCTTGTGTTGGTCGTTGGACCTTTCGTTATAATATGGTGCTGTACAGTGTGTTTAAGATCTCCGTTATCGTATGATACCCTCGTCAAGTCAATGTACTCATTTAGAAGCGCTCTATATGGCTCGTTTTTGTCTTTTGACACTGCTAAATTCATGGAGACGTAGTCGGTTGTCACTCCTCTTATCACTACTGAATGGTCACTGTTCACGAGCCGGTTTCGTCGGGTATCCACTAGTAAGTCGAAATTCTTTAAGAAATCAATACCAATTACAGGTACGGATACATCTGCTATGACGAATTCCCAGCGGAATTAAGTACTACGACCAAAATTCAAGGTTACTTTACGCTTGCCTTATGTTTTTATATCGGATTTGTTTTCTGACTTAAGCGTTAGCGCCGTGTTAATATTTTGTGTTTCGTTACTCACTGGAGGCACAACGCTTACTTCTGCCCCCGTGTCCACTAAGAACTGAGCGCCTGTTACTCTGTCCTGAACGTAAAATAAACGACTGTTTCTAGGAGCTGTTTTAGTTGTCGTGGCGTTTACCGACAATCGATGCAATCGTTTGAATTTACATGGTGGTTGACAGTTTCGAGCTTTGTCACCAAAAGTTTGATGGTACAAACATATTGTAGGAGCTGAGCGTCTCCTAGAACATAATCGATTTCTAACTTTCAATCTACTTCGCGAGCATTTTCTTTGTATATCTCCCTGATTTAGTTTCATCAGCTTGTGGCATAAAACGTTAATCTCCTTTTGTAATGCGTCGATTCGTTCATCTACTGTGTTATTATGTCTTCGTGGGCTCGTTAGTTTCATTCTCTCGTAAATTCTATCGGCTATATTAGCATTGTTGTCTATGTCGACATCGCTGTCCTCAACTGCGAGGATCTTCTGAACGTTCGGTGGGAGTCGTCGTAGCCACAACTGATAAAATATGTTTTTATCTACTTTTCCGTCTTCGATTATTCTACTCATATAATTTTTTAGCTGTGACGGAGTCCTATCTCCAATCTGCACTTGATTGAGAAGCCGCTCGACGGCTTGTCGGTCACTTAATGAAATGGCTTTAGTCACAGCCTGTTTAAGTGCGTCGTATGGCTTTTCGATGTCTGGCTTAGTTAAAACCTCTCGTACATTGTCGGCCACTTCATCCGAAAGTAGTGAGCTCGCATGGCCGAACTTATCTCACTGTAGATGAACACGATTAGCAACAAAGTAATGTTAAAGTCTAATAAGCCAGAGTTCAGGATCTGTGAGCTTAAAAGGAGGAATAGTTAAATTCATGGACCTCGGACTAAATTTGTGGAAGGTCTATTGTGTCGTTATTTATAGACATGATTATAAAAATCAACAAGTATACGTATATAATGTAAATGTCACGGAGAGGAGTAAATCGATAAAAACAATGATAATAAAAAATGGTACAATTAATAACATGGAACGTACTTACTAAATTGCACCAAAATATACATTGTTTGTAAAATATCGTTGTTTGTTATGAATAGTATAGTTATGTTCAATAATGTTTGTGAGATAATGTATGTATAATTAAAATGATGACATAATAAATCCACAGAAATGATTATAATCCAAATGCTATCTTGAACTGAAATAGAGTGAGTTGGATTTTAGGAATTGGATTACGTCGTCGAAGATTGATTCTTGCTCGCACGTTGGGATCACCAATTCTGTGGTGGTCGGTGTTTGGTATATTACTTAAACTCCGTATACAGTTCTTCTCGGTAATCGTCACTAAATAACGCTCCAACGGTATATTAATCAGAAGGCGAATACGAAGTGTTAATTACGTTTATTATGGGACCACACACAGATATCCAATATTACAGATGCGTTAAGCAAGCATGAATTAGTTGTGCCGAAAGGCAAACAGGCAAGCGAGTGGGCGAGAGAGAGCAAGGGCGAGAGCAAGGGCAAGAGCAAGAGCAAGAGCGAGTGAGTGAACGAGCGAGCGAGTAATGAATATGAATAACATGGACATATATATACATAGTGAAATGAATGAATCATCAAGTCAATTAAGCGGTTAATAGTAAAGCTAGTAGCGTGAATAAATGCGTAGGCAGTAAGGCTTGCCGAGCATACATGTTTCTACATTCGCAACAATTATAAGGATACAATGATATAGATAAATTGTTGTACGGACGACTCAGTTCGTTAATAGGTTGATAAAATGACTTAACCAAATTAAATGTGAACAAGCACAATAGCACGTGAGTTGTCATACCATACCTGGTACAATAACATGAGAAATCCGATAAAATTTTGATTGACTATAGACAATGATCATCAGTTTCATATATATTTATATACTCTGTACTGCTTTTCAAAGTCGTGGATACAGATAAATAATCATTGGAAACACTCAACTTAATGGGAGCAGAATTACAAAGTTTACCATTACTTGGAGCGAAATGAACATTACTGACTGAATGTGTCCAATCTTACCATATAGAAAACATTTAGCGTTGCGAAATGCACATGAATAAGATGAGCAAAATCTGCCACAGAAGAGATGTTTAACAAGCGTGTACTCAACTTTGTGATCCGCTTTTCGATTCCTTAATGAATGGTTATCTTGATTATTTAAAATTACTCAATGGATCGGGATGTTATAGTAATGTAGTGGAATTCTTGATGTTCAGACGAATCATTTTATGAAATGTTTCTCCTTTACAGCATTCGAAATTTGTACACTTTACATGGTCTGGTAGTAGTTCATTGAGAGTTGCGTAGGAAGATGAAATCGGCTTATCTGGAAATGCCGAAATTTTTGAAAAGCTGTAGACTTCTTTGCCGATGAATGCAAGGAAGTGAACTGCTATATTCACACCCTTAATATCTTCATTGTTCATAGCCCAGATTTCAAACCTTTAAAAATAATCCTCAAAAGCGGCTCGATTTGAATGTGTGTTCAACTATTCAATCTCAGGCTTGATCGAGTCGCTATTGTGATTATTAGAAGTATTTTAACTATTATATTAAATAGGAATCCTCAAAATAACGCAATTATTGCCAAATAGTACCAGTTAATCACAATGAAACATATTGATTTTGAAATTTGAAATCGGGCAGTCATGTGGGGATAGGTCTGTCAAACTTATTTTGTAAATCATTTTTAATATTATTTGTATTCATTTTGTCAATCTTTCACTGTGTGTACATTTATTATTAAATCATTGTACCTGTTGTTTTGGTAATGATCTTGATCACTTTTTCCGTTGTGATACTAACATAGCGTGACACTTTCTGTGATCGTTCCAAATACACTACTACACACATACCTCTCGTTCTAAATTCACTCGCATTTGTGTTAACTGAAGTCCGAATCAAGTACCATTTATCTTTACAGACGATAATTGGAATATACCATATTACTACTGAATCCTATAATTGGGGAACCCATCACACAGGAATTATTAATCATCTATAATTGTGGATATTTAGCACCAGATCTATTTGGAACACACACTCTCCTGGTAAAATAAGTAACGTTCCTTATTGCTATTGTGTTTATGACATTTAACTTATTTATATATTTAAATATTGCAATTTGTCATAAATAACTCTATCATTACCTTTTGAATTAATATATTGTCTGGTCCACCACAACTATTTGATGAGCCCGACGTGATCACTAAAAAACTTCTGTTTTTGAGAACTTTTGCCACAAAATTTGCATACAAATATTTTAGATGCATTCTTGTTAGATTCTAGGTGATTTCCATGAGATAACATACACTTTTCTAGTTGAAGAAGAAACAAGGCTGTTTTAAAAGATTCACCATCACTGAAAGACGAATCTGTATTACGCGGAAGGGAAACTGTATTGTTAGTGTCATCATTCATAGTTTTGTTGGACAAGGCAGATTTGAATATTGAAAGGTTGATTAGGCTTGAATGTCTATCAGACAAATGAGCATGGATATGTTTAAGACTTCTGCAAATTTTCACACAAAACGGGCACTTGAATCAAAATAATGAATTATCTTTTTTGAATCTTTGTAAAGGAAGTAGACGGAATGTCGGATCCAAATAATTAGCAGTACTGGAGTATTCAGCTGACGACTTTGAACCTCGTTCTACATCCTGTGCATTATTAGACCTATGGTGTAAAATAAATTTACGTTTTCTCTTCAGCAATTTACTTTCCTTTTTTCTTGATCTAATATACAGCATAGGACAACCGGAGTTAGATCCATTACGTCGGGGCAACAAGTGTCGAACAAGATGCAAGAAATCGTGAAATTTTCGGTCGCAAGTTTGACATGCAAGTTTGTCACTCCTGTTAACTCGATGTTTTTCTAACAAATGATTTAACAAACTGTTTGGTGATGAAAAAGAGTTACAATCAGAAAATACACATGCATAAACCTGCTTGTCTTTATGATGTACTATATGAACCCGAAGTTGTATGTATATTTCAAAACGTTGATCACAAAACCGACAGATCCAAATTTTAGGAGACACATGGCGACACGAAGTAGGGTTAGTTACCACTTCAGTGTTCTTTGGAACCATTTCCGAATTTTCGTGCCCACCGGATGCAGTAGCAGTTACAGATGACACTGGTGGCCAAGCTCTGTGACTTGAAAGATGTCGGCGAAGGTTAGAAGCTTGAGTGAATTGACGTCAACATAAAATACACTTGTAAGGTCTTTCACCGGTGTGAATACGCAAATGATCTACCAAGTGACTTGGACGTGTAAAACTCAAAGAACAATGAGTACAAATCCACTTCGATTTTTTGGAAACTGTGTTATTATTCTCAGAAATGACAGGAGGAATCACAGGTACACGCTTGGCTGGGACGTTTTCCACAGATGGATACTCCGTGTTGTTAGGAAGCGATTCCGAAATTGTATTACTGTAAGGGTAAACCACGGCTGGTGCGTATACAGAAGCATAACGTGCTGATTGCTGATTTGTATCGGTCAAAAATGTTGCCGAAGGCAGTTCAAATGTATGTGCACATTGGACTGAGTTATTGTATTGAAGAATATTTGCATTTGTTTCATATGCTGTACAGAAAGGAATGTGTACCGCAGAATCCGGATAGCTGTTCGACTGCTTCACACGAGAATCGCAGTTTTGATCAGGAATTAAATATGCGGAAAAATATGTATTATCTTGTGTGACCAATGAGTCTGGAAAGCTGGAGACGAATATACTATCAGTGTAGCAATCATGCTGTTCACTTTCGTAACCATTTGGATCACAATCTGGATAAACTATCGCGCTACTAAATCCTTCGAAAAAATTATTATAGTAGGATGGTTTAGAATGGTCGTAGGAAGTATAACTATGACCATCCGTGGGAAAGAAATCACAGACTGGATATTCAAAAGTCTGATCAAGTAGTTCATCGGAGCTTGAAGGGCCTTAGTATACAGTAAAACCATTCACGTAACTTTCTCCACTGGCTTCATGTGGTTCCACGGTATGAACACATACAGATGAGTTCATGGAAAAATTGGGAACGCCTTTGTAGTAATGAGAATTATAGGAATAACTGTCATTAGAAGAGTTTGACCACGACATTGTGTTGTCTTTCGACTCACTGGTGAAACCGCTTACACGAACTAAATCTGAAGTTAATTCTAATTCTGATGAGAAAGTTTGGGCTGTGCTATCGACACACATATCGATCTGCTCAGAACTCTGTCCATTATCAGTAGTGTTTTCGTCCTGGAAACTGTAACATGGTTGTGAAGCTCCAGGGATTTCTGAATGAGGTGGAAGAGTAACGTAAAAATGACTTTCTAAAATACTATCTGCCTTATAATTCGGGTGAAGATTAGACATGAGATTTGTATCCTGGTGAAGTTCCGTCATAACATCAAGAGGTGCATGTACAGCTTCCTCAGCTAGCCACATCAAATTCTGAGTAACAATATCTCCATAACTATCCGTGTTTGTCTGATCTGAATAACGGCACAGCGTACTGGGAAAAGTTGCTGGTACATAAACCTTAGTATGTAATGAGTATTCTGGAAATGTTTGAAAGTCGTCTGATAAACTGCTTGCACATGTTTCGGTCTCAGAAACCTCAAAAGTGACGAAAGAATTACCAACAGCTTCCGAATTAGAGGTGCAATTGCTTGTACCTTCATGGTCAAAGGCACCAATCGAGTCTAATACATTGGGACAACTAAGTTCTGACTGAGAATTCGGAGCCGAATCTGTGTAAACAGTTAAAAGTTTGTGTTGGGAATTGACACAAAATGTAGAATCAGAAATGGGCATTCAAAATCGTCAAACTAGCCAGTTGTAGAACATTTGCTACATGTATGTAGTAGTCTTTGGCACCTTAATGTTCTGTGGCATAGTCTCAACTTGGCTAAGCATCAGACAGACCTATCTCCACAGTCATCAGTTACGAAATCATTAGGTCATACAAACACCTTACAGCTTTCTAAGACTTGCTTCCTACTGTAGATGTTTTATACACGACGTCGCATCTCTGTCAGCAGCTTTACATCGCCTGACGCATAGACGACGACATATTTTGTGAACTTCAGAGTACTGACAGACAGTTAACACTTCGAAGTCATGCTTACTGCTCCGCTTATACCAGTTGTTCAGAATACATCGGTTAATGTGGGTGAGGTTTTACTAGACGCGAAGGCTAACTCGCCAACTATCAGAGCAGTTCTGTCTAAAATAGCACAAGATGAAGGTGAGCAGGTCATATCTTCCGCTAGTCAGCGGCTGGATTAGAGGGAAACGAGATATTCTACTACATGCCGAGAAATACCAGCTCTAGTGAAATTGTCGCTGCATTTTTGCCACTGCGTCATAGAATGCACTTTTCGTACACTCATAGACCACCACGCATTCAATTGGCTTCGTTCGTTTCGCGAGCCAGAAGGTCAAATGGCGTGACGACAGGAGCGGTTGCAAGATTTAGGCTTTACGTGAGAGTACCGACCTGGAAGCCGACATACAAACGCTGATTCTCTATATATCTTATTCCCCTGATAACATAAGTGTTGTTCTTATAACTAAACTAGATTTATTTCCATTGTCATATAGAAGAACCAGATGGTATTTAATCACAGGTTACAAATTACTTAGTGATAAATATGCATCTGATATGCTCCCATTTTTCTTGTCTTCTGTAACAGAGAATTCACGAAGACACTTCAAAAATGTTCACAAGCCCGGGACAAATTACTTTTCAGCTGACTATAGATTTTCCCATCGAATCATCAACGAAGTGAATTAGTTGCCACAACACGTGGCTGAAGCTCCATCTATGGGCTCTTTCAAAAGAAAGTTTTATCAACTGAGAGATCATCATTGCCAGGACTAACACAGACCACCTAGCTTCCTGTTTTTTCCAACAACAACAACACTTGAGATCGACTAGTCGCCTTTGCAAGCGGTAGACCTCGATCTGTAACTTATTTACCAAACGCCGATAACATGTGCTTCACATAAATGCCTTGGTTTGACCGCTTCTGCAAAACCTTACAGATAGTCGAGTTGACGCACCAATCGTTTGACGACAGTTTGACCTTCAAGTGCTCAGTAACCTCCTACAACGGGCGATGCAACTAGTAGTAGGGCATGTGCTATCGCCATTTGTTATCGGTTGCTTTCACTGCTGCATTCGAGTGCATCCTATGCGCTTACAAGATCGTCTGATAACCTTTCATATCATTCCTTTTCTATCAGATTTACTCCCTGTTCTGCTTCAACTCAACATACTTTCATCATAGACTCGAAGCGCTGCACAACAAATGCTTACTGCTTGCAGAGAGGTTTATTTATCTCTAAAACACTCGTTCATATGCTGGGATTTAAGGTTTGTTTTTTTTTAAACTTTGAAACACGACTTACAGAAATGGTATTGTTAGCGAGACTTCTTTACCTGATGTGATGTACGTCTTATGTATTTCAAGTATTTAGGTTTAGTGATTCAGAATTTGACAGACGAGTTCCTACTATCTCACTCTTGACGGTTTCTTCGAAGGGTTCATACCTGTCTGCTGCAGATAACCTGAAGCGGCTGTTTCTTTATGTTAATGAAAATGGCCACTGGTTATTGGTTTCACGATTGTAAGTGACACTCATATTCGTTGAAATTTGTTTAGGAAGCTGCGCAAACAGGTATCGTGTCTTCTCTTTTCTCCAAGTGGGCAAGCACTTCTTATTGGAGACAAGTCTGGAGATGTTTTCAAACTCACTCTGTGTCCGGAGAAGCCGATTCACGACACAGATTTGACTCTTCTTTGCGGACACCTCTCATTACTTAGTCACATGGTGAGTGCTTGTTTGTTCACCTTCTTTTTGTGTCATCCTAACTTATTAATTGTCGTCATCGTGTCGTTGAATTTCGGGTTGAAAACTTCGTGAATTATCCTCTGTTTTGCTTCTCAACTACACGTTGATATTGAAATCTGTGATGCTTTCTAGATTCACAGATTAAAATAGTTAGAATTCTAAACTTAGTGACCGGAGTCTGATGTCTTAATCCGCGTTTATCTCAGCATAGAACGAATTCAGTATGCTACATCAATCTAAACAAAATAGCAGGGTAATATAGTTAGACCCGTTAATTCATACGAAACTCGGTCTTTCTAAATAGGTAACAAGGCAAAATCATCCAGAGAGAGTGACTGCTCGTTTGTTACAGTCCGATTATAGTCTGCTGGATTCCTCGGATGTATGGAATAATAATTCTCGTGATGACAAGGGTGCTCAGTGTGTGGACACAAAATTCATTCACAGTAGCCTCCCTGAATAAATCAGTGCATACATTAAACTGATATCGAGATATCTTTCGAAAAGCCAGTATTTTTGAAAACATATGTTGTAAATAACAACGATATGTTTGTTCGTTTTTCATTCTGCTTAAGTCGCATTATTATTGCATTTCTGAGACGATATGACATTGTTCTCCAAAGTAGCTTTATCCTTTATTTTCTGTTTATTTTCCTTGTAAGACTTGTACTATACATAGTGAATTATCAGACAAAAATGGCTTTATCTACTAAAATGTAGCTCATACTTTTCAAGGGCTAACAAGTACACTGCTAGCTTAATTAAGTAGGAGTTTCAACTGGTTACAAAACTTCCATGGGATGCTTTTAGCAGTTATTTATGGTTTCTCATTCTTCACATGGCATGGGTTTTTAATTGTCAACTTTCCGGTCAAATGATATTTCATACTTCAAGTTCTTAATGATACTCTTAGTTCATTCATCGTATTTACAAATATTTCCGTTTATATTCATTTTTCTAGTGAGATACTGATGCTAGCGTTTATATTGCACTTTCGTATGATAACTTATTACGTACATTTTACGGTTTACTAGGCTATTTCGGAGGATGAAATGTACTTGGCGTCTTGTGATCGTGATGAAAAGATACGGATTAGTCGATTTTCTGAACCCTGTGTTATCCAATCATTTTGTCTTGGTCATAAATCGTATGTTTAGTGTGTTGGACTAACTTTTAAATACAAACGACAGGTTCGTTTCTCAGCTTGGTTTCATTCCTGACACTCGATATTTAATCTCAACAGGAGGAGTAAGTTGAAAGGCTCGCTACTTTGAATTGGTCTCATTCTTTAATTCCACCCCTATAGTTTCCTCTAAAGATTGGGACTGGTAGTTGTTGCTCATCTTTTGTCACAGAATCTTTTATCATGTGATTATTTTTGCCAATTTACCAACCAAGATAGTTCTTATAGTTTCTGAAATGCATAGGCTTTTAGAAATAAACTGACTATTGAGGTCCGAATGATATTTCAACACATGTAACTGCAGACAAAGTAAATAGAATTTTTATCATCTCAAAATATGTATCCTTGAGATTGGAATCGCAAAGCATTTTACTGATTGTTATGTCAGTGTAATTCGTCACGATGTGTTATTCCCTCAACTTACTCACAAGGCGCTCAAATTTTATGTTTGATGGAGTTTATGACTGGCAGACAATTTCCAATTTTGGTGCTGCACAATATAAGTGTATTAGGGTATGCTTTTCGCTACTTATCTTAATCGACATGTTTGGCATTTGCATGTAGTCACTTTAACAAGTTATTGCTAGTGTACAATTGAAAGCGTTAGTCACAGTCCAGAAACCAGACAAATTCAACCAAAACCTGAATATTTTTCTGAATATATCAAAGTAGTCTTAATAGGGGGCTTCAGTCTACCAGTATGATGGTTAGATCAGATAGTACTTTTAAAATCCTAGTTTGAGGAGCCGCAATATTCCTAATCTTGTGCATAATCCACCTTATCCTCAAGCTCTGGTTTTCACACTGGTAATAAAAAGCCAGTTTGTTGGAAATCGGTACAAAAAATAATCTGGAAGATACAGGGAAAACTTGTAAAATCTGGATGTACATGATTCCATCTATAAACAAAGGGCATATGCCGTAGTAATAACCACTTATCAAATACATTAATTTTCAATAATCGTCATTCTTCGAATTATGTAGCTGTCTTAACCTAGTTTACGTTCATTGAATTTCAGCCTATTAATCGTGTTTTTTAATTCTTTCAGTTTCATGATATTTGAAGTTAAGTTTTGCATAGGCTGTATTAGTTGACAGATATTACGAATGCATTTAGTCTGATACCATTTATTATTTATTTATTTGAACACATAAATATTGGTACAAGGAGGCACCAAATACATATGCGCCACACAAACCTCATTTAATTTGTGTGAGGGCTGTGATACTGCCCGGGTGCCCAAACCGAAGCAGGTGGTTGTCTTAGGGGGCCACACCCCGAGCCTTCGACCTGAAGATCTGATCCACAAGGTAATGGAGCATCGTGAGGAGATGCAGTCCCATGGTAGCCGGCCAACAATAATTGGTTCATACGCCATTTGTTCCTTCAGGATACTGGAGCCCATGTGCACCATTGGTTTTGGATTCGGTTAAAGCGCCGGACATTCGCTTTTCGTCCTGTCATTTTTGTAAACAATACCCCCGCCACGAGGAGGCAGTGAGTAGGACTTCCCTGACAGAGGCTGTATACGCGTGGCCATGTGAGAGCATTTGGAGAGGGAGGGCGGGCCCACCCCACTCTCGACCGTACCGGGGCATTTGGGGGCAGTCTAATACCAGATGAAAAGTAGTCCACTGGATACTAAGTTGTTACAACTAACCGGATCTGAAACTCAGTTGTTCAACGCTACACAGAAACTTCAACAAAATGGCTCCCCGTTCTCGATACTCATCAGGTTTCTACTATAATTCATCATTTCCATAACATTTAATT